GCACCCCGAATAGTGGATCAGTGGAGCCCAGACCCCATGATGAGACACGCAGTGCAGTTAAAGGGACACTGTAGGCACCCAGACCACTTCAGCTAATTGAAGTGGTCTGGGTGCTGTGACCCTTTTGCACTTAGTGTTGCAATGTAAATAAAACATTGCAGTTCCAGAGAACTGCACTGGTTTTATTGCAGTTCTTAGTCTGCCCTTGGTGGCTGTCTGTCAAATGGACTTTTGGTCCGTTATCTGATGCTGGATGTCCTCACCGACCTCCAGAGTCAAATTTTCCCCAAGGAAAGCATTAAATAATGCTTTCCTATGGTGAAGTCTAATGCGCGCACATTTGGTCTCTTCGTTGGCGGGGGGGGGAGGCGCATGGCGGAGCCTGACCCAGCGTCGAGGGACATTGGTGCTGGATTCAGGTAAGTGGTTAACCCCTTCTGCCCCGCAGGAAGGGGGGCCCCGAGCACTATAAGGTCCCTTTAAGAGATATATCTACCAGCTAGACCAGTAGAATTCTGACAGCACAGGCCGCATACTGGAGTGTGCCACTTTATACTCTTACTCTCAGCATGTGAAGGAAGTAGAGCGAGGACAATGCAGCCTGCTATGCAAGCATCTTCTCTGGACCCCAGGGAAACCACCCCGCTGCTACAAAAACTAAGCAACCAGAACTTTTTGTCTGTGTGCCTTGCTGTGTGATTGTGTATATGCATTGTGTGTATGTGTCTGGCAGTGTGCTATTAGGTATCTAACAGCATGTCTATGTGTCTGGCCATATGTATATGTGTCAATGTGTGTATTTGTCTAGCAGTGTGTTTATGTGTCTGGCTATATGTATGTATCAGGCAGTGTGTATGTGTATATAGCATTAAGTGTAGGTTTCTGGCAGAGTGTTTGTGTGTATTTAGATGGCAACCTATGACTTTGTATCTGTTTGTGTCTATAGTGTGTGACTCTGTGTTTTGTAGTGTCTTTTTGTAAGTTTAGCAGTGTGCATCAATACCTGTGCTTGTCCAGCATTGTGTATTGTTGTGTATGTGTCTCGTATGGCATTGTATATATGTGTGTGTGCACAAGACAGTGTGTGTCCTGCATTGAGTATCCTTGCATTTGTATCTGGCAGTGTGTGTCTATGAGTGTTTATGTGTGTATCTGAAAGTGAGAATCCATGTGTGTGCATGTTTCTTAGTGTGTCTGTAAAGTATACATCTTTGGAGTTTATCTGGGAGTGTTTGTAAGGGTCCCAAGAGTTCTGATGGCAGCATTCATGTCACAAAGACCAATTATCTCACGTTATATAATTAAACTAGTTTTGAAGAGATAAGTGACACAAAATGTTTTTTTCCTACAAAACCTTGATGTACAATATTCCAGAAATGCATTAAAATGATTGCCAAGGATCCACATACTATCCCTAGAAGTCACATCCAAAGATAAAAATATTTTAGATTAGCTTGACTAGCGAGCCTGAATTATAATATTTTCAATACACACAGTATATGTAAAAGGCATTCCAGAATGGCACTGACCTCTCTTTTAATGCTTTCTGGAGAAGATGTATTGAAAAACAAAAAGAAACAGAAATATGAATATACCTTGCTTACAACAAAGCTGCAAACTCAATAGCCACATTCTTAATGCCACAGTGCATCCTCTCAAACAGAAAGCTATGAGAGATTATTTACTTATTACTTGGTACGACAACCATGCTGCAGCAACAATTTGCAAATCCCAGGGATGTTCTGAGAAATTTTAAAGGGGCACTAAAGTCATCAGAACCACTGCAAATTAATATGGTAGTTTTGGTGTGTAAAGCATGTCCTTGCTGGCCTTTTAATGTAAAACATTTACATTGGTGCCTAGTAACACCTCTAGTGGCAGTCAATCAGACAGCCACTAGAGGTGCTTCCTAGTCCAGTGCTGAACATTCCCCATTGAGTCAATGCATCTCTATAAGGAGACTTTGATAGGCGCAGTGCGGCATTTTGCTCTACAGGCGGAATAGCCTCCCAATGCTCTCCCATGGGAAAGCATTGGATTGGCTGTGATCATCAAGATTGATGATCTCAGCCATTGAGGAGGGGGCAGGTGGGGCTAGCAGTGGTGAGATCAGCATAGTGTGGGAGAAATTTGAATAAAAATAACCTTTTCAGCGCGATCGGAGCAGGGCCGGTAACCTTAACAGCCATACCAGCACTATAGTGTCAGGAAAACAAACATGTATTTCTAACATGTGTTCCTTTCCGTTACTTACTAATAACAATGTATGCAACTAAAATATTATTTAAAACAACAATGTATCTAATTTACACAGACTGATTTCTAAACACATTTATTGTAGTTTAAAGACATCTTACCCAACTTCGGCAGACCAGGAATCGGTAAAGTGGGCAGGCAAGTGATGAGATTGTGCCTGGAAAGGGGCAGTTCCACTCATATCACTTGCAGGTGACTATGAATTTTGCAAGGCCAGCCCAATCAAGGAATTCTGTTTGTTGGGAACAGCTCCGTGGTGTTCCCAAAAGTGGGACACACTAGGGAACTAAGTCAGGATGGCAGACAGGACCCGAGAATTGGGACTGTCCGACTGATATCAGGACTGTTGGAAAGCATGCATTACTGTGAGTAATATTGCTGTGGAGCTCTTTTACACACTTTGAAACACCAGCAATAGAGGGATTTGGGCCCAAAATATCAAAATTGTCCCTCTTAAAAAGTTGGGAGGTTGTGTTTGGGAGATTGTGTTAGAAAAAGTAGAGTGTTTGGGGTTAGGAGAGATAGGTTGTCTGTTGCACCAGCAAAAAGGAACTCTCGCTCCAAAAACAGTCCACCGACAGGTTGAACTGCTATCACCCCAGTGGCACAAAACTAGCAGAGAACAAAACAACTGTTGTCCATTTGATTTTGATTTCTTTTTAACACCAAGCACTCAGTTTGTGAAAAGTAGTGTTCAGCTTTCTTGTTTAACATGGAAAAGAAGATCATAGCATTTATTTTACATAGGTTTATTCCTGGAAAATTGCTGGTTTGGGAATCTGTACCTGCCAATTCTGCCTGCCCACTATTCAGGATGAAGGTGGCAGGCAAGGCAGCAGGCTGCAGACCTGCCTGTGAAAGTGAAAGGTCCACTTTAGGGTGGCAGGCCCTTAAGTGGGTGTCCTGGCTGACTGACAGCCTCCCTGCATAGGGCAGAACATGCCTAGAAGCAGCCTAAGTAGCCTGTACATGTTCCAAGAGCCCTCTGAATCCTGAAATCTGCCAGTCAGATTGTACTGCTGCACAGAATTGAGAAAGTGGTACAAGTCCCAAAAAAGAGGGACTCTACCCAGGGCCAGATTAAGAGCCCATTGGAAACAATCATACCACCCAAGTATCATGTATCTGATGGAGGTGGTGCTGGAGAAACGAACAGGATGCAGCTATAAAGAAACACATAGCCCATGCTAATTTCTCACTTTCAGCTCTTAACCAAATCCATACCTCCTAAGCAGGACCACCATCAGGGCATCACAACCACGAGGGTTGTCATGGGCCTGGCAGTCCTGGGGGAGGGGGGGGTAGACTGCTCAGGGAGACCCGGGCCCCACATTACCTATGTGCAGATATATAGCGATTACCACTATATTTATGTGCACCTTTGGTCCCTCAGCTACCTGTACACTGCAAGGGCCCAGCACACTCCGTCTCCACTTCCCAGCTGCTCTGCTCTTCTCAAAGTCTCACGAGCATCGGCGACCATCTGAGCATTGCCATGGATTACCATAGCAGTGCCATGGCTCATGAGAGTTAGACACAGAAGAGCAGCTGGGAAGTGGAGACGGAGTGTGCTGGGCCCCTTGCCATGTACAGGTAGCCGGGAACCCGCACCACGCCACAAGACCCCTTCCTGGATACAGGTAAGAAGCAGGGAGGAGGGAGTAAAATAAAATGTATTACAATAATTGGAGAAAATATACTGTATGCTCTCCCCACAGTATGCATCCCCATACATTTACACACACTATACACTATACTACAACATTTACAAACCCTACATTCTTACACAAACACACACACACACTACATCCTTACACAAACACACACTCTGCAGTCACTTCACACACTACATCCTTACACGAACACACAGTTTGCATTCACTACACACACTACATACACTATACAAACACACTCTCTGCATTCACTACACACACACTACATCCTTACACAAACACAAGGACTACATACATTACATAAACATACAATATGCATCCACTTTACACACTGCATCCATGACACACACCTCATCCACTTTACACATTCTACATACAATAAACACATACCACATTCACTACACACACACACACTTCATCCTTGTGGACTCGGGGGCAGGCCCTGGGGCCGGGTTTGAGGGTGGGCCCCATGGTCCTAGAACTTGAGCAGTGTCTGATGGCAGCCCTGCTCCCCAGCATTGGCATTCTGTGAAGCAGGGTGTTGGTGGGAAGGGTAAAAGGAGGTGAGCCATTGACGCAAATCAGGTCACTGGCACTGCCCAAATGTGTGATCCCGTCTGGAAAAAGAGAGAAGGTCTGCCCAAAGAAATGGAAGGCCAGATTGGCGTGAAGGCATGAGAAGGCATGACAGGTTGCCTGCCAATTACACAGGGTGACCAACTAAGGGTGGACTAGACAGACAGCACTGTTTCAGCACCTTGAGCTAGTCTAAAACTTGCCTAATAATGCCCTCACTCTAGGCTTTTGGGCACTCACTTGTCCACTCCTCTCATTTCCTTCTTACTTGCAGGCAGAAAAGCTCCTGGTATACAGTCTAGGACAGATAATCTAGATGTAGTGAGTGTAGAATTAAGGGGACATGCCACTGTGTTAGAGAGATCAAAGCAGCAAGAGCATTTACACAGTGTGTAAAGTCAGCTTATCTCTAGAGATGTCGCAAACTGTCCGCCGAACTGTCCGCCGGTGAACAATAGCGTGTTCGCGTTGGGCGAACATATCCGATTTCCGGTCCGCCCCCTATACGTCATCATTGAGTAAACTTTGACCCGGAACCTCACAGTCAGCAGACACTTCCTGGGAGGGAGGGTCTGCTGCTGATTGGGTGGAATGTGTCTGCTTGCTGTGAGGTTCCGGGTCAAAGTTTACTCAATGATGACGTATAGGGGGCGGACCGGAAATCGGATATGTTCACCCAACGCGAACACGCTATTGTTCACCGGCGGACAGTTCGCGGACAGTTCGCGAACAGTTCGGCGGACAGTTCGCGACATCTCTACTTATCTCAACTAATTTAGGATCAGCCAGTCCACACAAGGTGTGTTTCTCTACATCCCTCATTAGTCCCAATAATTAATTCCCTCTACACAAAGCAAGAGCATGTAAAGCAATATATATATATGTGTAAAAAAGATACAATTTGTATCTTGTAATACCTTTTTTATTGGACAAATGTTATCTGTTTTTACATCTACATCACTGAACTAATACGGCTACAATTTCTACATGAACACTACTGAAGATATATTATATATACACACACACACTATGTTTCACATGCCCTGGCTTTGTGTAGAGGGAATTAAGTATAGAGATATATATACACACACACACACAAGATGTTTCACATGGTCTTGCTTTTTGTATAAATATGTGTTTATTTATTTTGTTTTAAAAAAACAAAACAAAAAAACACTCAATTGGCCTATCCCATATGTCTGGAGCTTCAGTTTTACTAGTCGCTATGTTAATCCAACCCTGACTGTCCTGGCAAAATTGGGACTATTGGCACCTATTCTTAAATGCATGTAGCAGCAAGTATACCAAGGTTTCCTGTCCTCCAACTAATAGCGAACTCCAGTCAGTCTTGGGGCTACTGGTTACATGTATTTCTCCTTGAAAACATTAGATGCAAACAACATAGCAATTTCTGCTGATAATGAGATTGGGTTGTCAAGCGGGTCTTATTGCATTTCCATATAATAACAGGGCCCTATGAAGTATTTCCTGTGCTGAGAATTGCTTTCCAAACCATAGATAAGCATGTTCTAAAGTTATCAGTATATTCCATCTACTAAGAAGTAAGCATACAAAGACAAACAAAGCCATGGTTATAGTTTCAGATGAATGACCCAAACCAGCAACCAGCGGTAAAGTTCAGGCGTTGCTGAACATGCTCATTTTCATCCTTGATTTAAAATGCGGCTTCTGGCAACAACAAAAATTGGGTGTGGAATAGAGTAGAGGCTGTTTTTTTTTTGTGGGCTTTAACACCTGCCCAATGAAGAGGTGGAAATAAAACAATGATTAAGGTTTAGGTGATAGCCAGTAAATGAATGGGGTAACACCAGATGGTGCTGTACAGGGCCATTCTGAGCGCAAAATCCAGACATTTTTTACACTACCGAATTTAACAATATCTGGGTTTTGCAGACAACGCTCTGAATGAAGCTGAATCTGGTCCATATTTTAGTTAAACTTAAAGCTTCAGGATGGCTGAAATCCGGGACCGGATATTACAAATGCAAACTATTTGCACTAAAAGCCAGCAGGCAAATAGTTACAAATCTTAAGGTGCGCAAGGGTTAACAATTTGGAGGCTCTCCAGCACTTGCTATCCAGTCGCCACATTATATATTAGAAATCTATTATGTAACTTGTAAAAAGTTCTATCACTTCCTATTTTTTAATATATAATAATCTAATCCAGATATGTAATAATCTAATTTTGGCAACTCTGATTTAATATCGCAAACATGCCTGATTCTACTTAGCCATTAGGTCAGGCAATATTGTAGTATTTTTCAAGCCAGCATAGTCCCTACTTTTCCTGCTGTTTTGGCTGCCCGAATTGTCCACATTTTTTTTTCAGAACCAAATTTATCTGCCCTGCCCAAGACTAGAATCTACTAACGTGTACAATGTTTAAGCCACTGTAAAGTTAGTAAAACTTTAAATACATGCCAGATTTCATAATATTCACAATTAATATTGTTACCTAGGTGTATAATCTATGCAATTCCAAATAAGAGTGACACATTTAAGCTACCTTTTAAAAGGAACACTTCACTGCCAAAATGCAAAATATGTAGAATTCACTATTTAGTAGATATACCCCATTTTTAAACAAAAAACATGCATGCATTTTTTCATTGGGTGTTCATCTAAAAACAGCTTACATTTCTCTTGTCTGCTGCCTTTGCAAGTCCTCCCCTTCTAGCCTTACCCAGACTTTCTGTGGCTGTCCAATCACAGACTTCCCAATGCAGCTCAATGAGAAGTCTTTGCAAGGCAGATTCTATGAGCAATTGCTGCCTCCTGAATTTATCTTCAATGGGCTAAGCTATCAGAAAGTAACATAAATGGTTGTCTGATTGATAGCTAGGGGTGTAACGGTTAATTTATAAAAGTACCAGTTTCTATTGAATGGTGCACGTTTTATAAAATGAAATAAAGAGGCCACACTCTTCCCACATAAAGCACAGGGGTATGGAGCGTTCCCTTAAACGAATCGTTTTCCTGGCACTGCAGGTCCCCTCTCCCTCCCATCCCCCATTCCTTGTTGGTGAAGGGGTGAAAACCCCTTCAGAGACTTACCTGAGACCACCGCCGATGTCCCTCGGCGGTGGTTTAGGGTCCGCACACGCTCCTCCCCCTCCGAAGTCAGCCGGCGGGGGAGACCGATTGCTCATGCGCGGCCGCCGACGGGATGAGACCTAATGCGCATGCGCGGCAATTGAAAATGCTTTCCTATTGAGATTTTAGCAACACTGGAGAAAACCTGTGCTATAGACCAGGAAGTGCCCTCTAGTGGCTGTCTAGTAGTTTATGAAAACTGCAATATTTACAGTTGCAGGGTTAAGGGTAGTGGGAGTTGGCACCCAGACCACTCCAATGGTGCCTTTAACTCATACATTCTCAGGGTATGAACTTTTATTTCAACTAACAATTTCAAATTAATAAAATACCAGCAGGCAACAACTTAAAGCAGAGCAGGCAACAAAAATTAATGGACATGCATATCAGTTTTATAAACAATCACATGGCGTCAGTGTGCTAGGCAAATAATGCTTTATCAAAAACAGGCTGTAGATAAAGGATGCAGTGTATAATAGATTAACAAATATATCGACATCTAGCAACAAAACAAATATTACCATTGGGAAATTATTGCCCTAAAATAAGTGTGCTTATACAATGGAGGCTTGTCCATAGAGACACTCGGGGAAGCTCCCCACCAAAAAAATGCCGTCTCTCTAATTCTGTAATAGTTTTCAGTTCTGCAGGGTCCCTCTCACTTTATTGGTAGCTGTTTGGAGAACCTTACTTAAGAACATCTAGGCATGTCAAGAAAACGGATCTGGTTTGAAATCTGCCCTGTTTCAGCAGGTTTTGCACATGCCTGGTGTAACTTAAGAAGGAATTAACGAAATTTCCATTGAGTTGCCTTTTGGACAGCAGAGCTAATTTCCCATTCGCAGAGGCATGCTATTGGCCTCTTTATCATTGGCTGATAGTACCAGGGGGTGGGTAGTTACAGTGCCCACAGGAGAGAGAAGCAAGAATTAATCTTGAAAGAAACACAGAGAGAGCACAGGAGCTGCTCTGGGCCCCTGCAAAATGTAAGTGTATAATATTATCTTTTTCTGTCCCCCAATAGCCCTAGTGACTGCCTTAGGGCTGACTAGGCAAGGGAATTTACTCAAATATATAGTTAATATATATAAAGCCAAGGACGCCCAGGAGTGACAAGGGAAGAGGGACATATCTGACAAAAAAGCACTTTGCTGCATGTCACTAATAGTTTTAATAACTCCTACTGCATATATCCACCATCTTCTTTGATGAGACCTGCGACACAAATGCTGTAGCTAGTTAAAATGTTGTGAGGCTTTAAACTGCAGGACTGGGGCTGAGACTCTGAGAACTGATCAGATTCCAATCTGTTTAATTTGTAATGAAGGTTGATTCTGCTAACCATGCCAGCTACTTCTTGGCTCCATATGCAGATTAATTATATTGCCAGCAGCAAAGTGAAGAATTAACCTATCAGTATACGGCTAACCCATTAACCTTGTGTTTACTATGTCCTAAGAGCTAATTACACAGGGTGACCAACTAAGGGTGGACTAGACAGACAGCACTGTTTCAGCACCTTGAGCTAGTCTAAAACTTGCCTAATAATGCCCTCACTCTAGGCTTTTGGGCACTCACTTGTCCACTCCTCTCATTTCCTTCTTACTTGCAGGCAGAAAAGCTCCTGGTATACAGTCTAGGACAGATAATCTAGATGTAGTGAGTGTAGAATTAAGGGGACATGCCACTGTGTTAGAGAGATCAAAGCAGCAAGAGCATTTACACAGTGTGTAAAGTCAGCTTATCTCTAGAGATGTCGCAAACTGTCCGCCGAACTGTCCGCCGGTGAACAATAGCGTGTTCGCGTTGGGCGAACATATCCGATTTCCGGTCCGCCCGGAGAGCAGGGGGTGTCTTATAATGTTGTGCCTACTGACACCTGACACATGTAAATTCAGCATGTAAATTGTAATACTTATATTTATATTTGTTTGTTAGGCTAGGTGTATGTATGGGACAAGTTAGTTATGTGCATGAGAGTGGAAGGCTAATGAGGTGTGTGATAGAGAGTAGTTTATTTAACCCCTTAAGGACACATGACATGTGTGACATGTCATGATTCCCTTTTATTCCAGAACTTTGGTCCTTAAGGGGTTAAACCAATAGGACCACCAGGACTAGTTAAGCCACTCCTGGTCTCTCTAGAAACAGCAGTTCCTGAAGACTTGCTAAAACTGAAGGGCATTCTTAGATTAATGCATTTCATATATTTTTAATGATATTCTTTTCTTAGTTATAGGTGGGTGAGGACACACACACACACTTTCAACTTTCACCAACAGCCCAATCTACCTCAGCTGCTATGCTACCCATCACCTTGGGGTTTAATCGCTAAACAATGAATTGTAGCAAACTGTAAACCAAATGTCCAGGTTTGAGAACTGGCTGTTATTGATCTAAGTAAAACTATCTTCCTTATGTTGGTTTGAGTTTTGTAGAGCTACCCCAACTCGTCCTAATTTAGGAACAGATTCAATAAGTTTTTGTCATGTCTGACAATGCATGGCCAACCCCAATTTTTTGTGAGCAGGACACC